TTTGATCTAAATGTAGTTGCCAAAATTTACTCTAAATTGGTGTAGATTTTATTTGCTCGGCTCAACTTTGAAGTGGGGGATATGTCTTCTGTAGACTCAACGTCAATGGGCATAGTGGCCGTATATGAAGCCAAGGATCCACCCGAGCTCGGTGTTTCTACAGATATGTACCTCCCCTGGGTCGGTAAACTTGCAAACGTAGGAGTTGGCGATAGACGGCAATCTTGGGTGCCGGTCGGGAAACTGCGATAGGGGGATTGTATGTAGGGCTTCTGATGTTCGGAGCCTCCAGACACACTCAACAGAGGCGACATAGGCGTGAGAGTGGAGAGTTGGGAGTAGCGATGTGACGGAAAAATCCGGTAACCTTGAGAAGAACTCTGAGTATATAATTCGGACTGGTTAGGTGCTGCATGATGGCCAGTTGATGCAGAGTGTCTGACCACATACGATTGTACCAGTCTCATGTTGTCTATTGTAAACTGGTACCAGTTTTCACATGGAATAAGTTGTATCTGTGTTTTCATATACCCCATGTACGTCTCAACCTGCTGCTCGTGTGGAGACATTTCTTTGGCAGGAGCATTGCGGATTTTGGCCAATTTATCGGCACGGGTCAGTAACTGCAACGCAAAACAACAATTTTGGTTTAGTTAATTATACACCATGCTATGCTGATATTAAGTTATCAAACAAAGGCATGTGTCCATTCATTTTCTTTCAGAATTGTATGAATAAACAGCAAGGAGTTGCAATTCAATAAAATCAATTTGTCACTAGATAATAATGTATCACGACATAATAACATAAAAAGCAATTTTCACCTTGCCGAGCACCTCAGATTCTTTAGTTTTAGTAGCCTTGCATTTTGGCCTGCTCTTGTTCTTGACCTTTCCCCTGGTCCCAGCTTCATCAGAGATCGAATCTGTGCTAACTGTCTCAATGGCATGAGGAGCATCTCCCTGATGATTATCCTCCTCCTCCTCTTTCTCATCATCGTCATCATCACCACCACTGGGTATGGCCATGGAA